ATGATTCTAAAATGGCCTTGCAAGACTAAGGGACTGGAATAAAATTAAAATTCATTGTGTAATCACAAAAAAATTTCCTCGTTATCATTGGTCGTCGGAACATCATTGGTAATGACTGGAGCCCTAGCGTTGGCCACCACTAGAACAGTCACTAGCAAACAACCATTGGAGCTTAGGCAAAGGTGACGAATTATTTTTTTCTGGTGGTTAGAGGGGGTTTGATCTCACAATCTCTTGATAAAAAAAAAAAAAGCTAGCCATCAAGCTAACGATGACTCTTAATCATATAAAAGCAATCTTTTATATATATTATTAACCTTGTTTTCACTCATCAAGTTAATACTTATCAGGAATTTAATGGTTACCTGTCTATTATAAATGACTATTTGTTAAATTACTAATAAGACTTGTTAAAAAATTTAATATCCATCAAAAGTTTACATGTGTCAAAAGTTTATGAAAACTTATTATTTTACTACAATTTACTTATCAAATTATTTAAAAAAAAATTTCAAACTTAATACCGAGACTCATAATTTTATAATTGACTACTTCTTAAATTATTAATGAGAATTTATTAAAAAAATTTATTACGTGCTGGCTTTTATAAATATTTACTTATTTTTATTTAAAAAATTTAATTGTTAAAAAAATTATATGAAAATTTTATTTTAATAAACTTTACTTGTTAAATTATTAAAAAAAATTGTCAAAGTTAGTAACACAACTTTGCATTTAACTAATGATTGCTTATTAAATTACTTATGGAGGCTTGTTAAAAAATTTTATTATACACTAAATTGTATAAATATTTACTTATTTTTATTATTAAAAGTTTACTTGTAAAGTAGGTTTTGTAAACTTTTTATTTTACTAAAATTTTCTTTTCAAATTATTAAGAGAATTTGTCAAAGTTAGTAACGGGTCATATCATTTTATAGATAGTTACTTATTAAATTATTAATTGTAACAGCCCTAGCTCACCAAGGGCCTCTCCCTTTAGATTTTCGTCGAGTTGGACACAAGTAGAAGGAAAGTGGTACTAGGTTCAACCTGAACTTCGTTAAGTAGGAGAGGTTGGATGATTGAACTTTGGAAGGCTCTACTTGCTATATTTATCACAAGAGAATAATCTCATATACTATAGTGGGGCAGCCTTGTTTCCTGATACTCTCTTAAGAGGGGTCATTCGATATGGGGCTTACAAGGAGGTGTGTCCAGCACAGCAAAAATTCAAAGGGAGAGGCCCTTATTGAGCTAGGGCTATTATGCTAATAAAGATTTGTTAAAAAAATTAATTTCCACATGTTTTTACAAATGTTTGCTAAAATAATTTGATAAGTAAATTTTAGTAAAATAATAAGGTAATATAATCTTTTGACAAGTAAACATTTCATAATAAAAATAAGTAAATATTTATCAAAGCCGTTGTATATTAAATTGTTTAACAAATTTTATTTATAATTTAACAAGTAGCTATTTGTGAATTAACAAATGACCATTAAGATTCTTACAATTGTTGACTTGAAAAGTGAAAACAAAATTAATAATATATATAAAATTTTACATTATATAATTAAGAAACATTGCTAGCTTAGTGGCTAGAATTTCTTTTCTTTTTTTCTTGTGACTAAGGGGTTGTAGGGTCAAAACACCCCTTAGTTATCTTAGAAAAAAATTAATTGGTCACCTTCATTGGAGCCCTAATGGCCAACATCAGTCTGATGGTGGCGATTCGATAGTCGATGCTAGAGCTCCAACCACCACCAACAATGTTTTGGTAGCTGTTAGCAATGAGGGAATTTAAAAAAAATGAGGGGTGGTTTTTTTAATTTCAATATGAATTTTAATTATATATTAGTCCCTTAGTATTGTAAAGCAATTTCAACCCTTTGATCCTTTTTTGTTAACATGATGTTATAGAGGTCTTTGATTGTGATTTTTTATTATTCATTTAATGCTATCAAAAAATGAGTGGGGTGGTGTACATATGGGCTCAAGCTCTTATTAAGTTACTAAGTTATATCAAAATTAATTATTTTTTAAAACCTAGCCCTTATTTAAATAATTCAAAGTTGGGCCTATAAGCATTGTTTTATTATTTTTAAAAATTAAAATTTTCAGTTATAATATTTCTTATTTTTAAAAATACAAATTATAATGTTAAAAAATTAAAAATATACAATAAAAAATTTAATTTTAAAACATAAACATATATTTTAAAATTTAATTTAATTTCAAAATTAAAAATATTTTATTGTTTAAAAGACAAAAAATCAAAAACTAGCCGTTTAAGCCTATTAGGATTGGAAATCAAATTCCCATTTCCTTAAACATATTTTTAAGCCCAAATTTTTACAAAAACTTACTTAAACAGATGGGGTATCAGGCCTGATCCTCATTCCCATGTGCTGTCAAATCAGTCTGGAGCCAGTCAAATAGTCCGTTCGATTCCTCAGGAAAAAACACCCCATTAATTAACGCCACCAATCGGGTCGACAAACCCACAAATTAAGAAGGCCAGGAGGGATCCGAGTTTGGTGGGCTGTGGCCAGGAAAGGTCACACGAGATCCACATTCTATTCCCCTTGGGGGATTCGTCCTATTTATATATATGTATATATAAATTACATTTAGATCTTACAAAATAAAATTTATTATAAAAAAATTTCATAAAATTTATAAAATATTTTAAAATTTAAAATTTTATGTATTTATAATTTGAGTAATGGCATTAACATTTGGGCAACCCCTAATCAAATTATAAATGTAAAATATTTTAGATTTAAAAGTATTTTATAATTTTTACAAGTTATCTTGATAATAATTTTTTTAACTTATAATATATCAATAGCATAAGTTATTATCTATTTTATATATTGGTAAGTGATAAAATATAAAAAAAAAGGACAGATTTAAAAATAGAGAGGAGAGCACAACTGGCACAAAGAGGGAGAGAGAGAGAGGTTATGGGGTAAAAAAGTGAGCCAGCCAGGCAAACGAGAGGAAAGGGATGGTCACATGGGTTTTGGTAGAGAATACAGGAAAATCCCACAGGGATATCCACACTTGAAGACTTGATCCACAAGATTTCATGCACGATTTTATACTCTTTCATCAAAGTCATCTTGTCCCACCAACTTCGCATACTAAATTATGTTATACAAATAGCATCACCGTTCGTATTTTTGGTTACCCATTCCTCATTTGTATTCATGTACTGGTTGCGTTAACCTCATGGCCTCACCGCTATAATCAATCATCGTCATCATCTCCAATATTTTTTTTAAAAAAAACAGGTATAAATAGAATTTAATTTCCCCTTTTATACTTATTTTTTATTTAAATATACTACGCACGATCAATTTTATAATTCTTAAAATTCTGAAATGATTGAAAACTAAATTTGTGTTGGGAAAGGAGTAACACAATGATTAAAAGAATGAATTTTTTCACCCTTTTTTTTGCTTAAAAAAAAAAAACTTTTTCAATCCCTTTCTGGGTTTTAATGCATTGTAGTATAAGTACACAGGAACCACCGAACCATTACCTAGTAGACATGATGACTATTCTCAATCTCATTAAGACAAGGCGAGATTTGTCCCTTGCTTATTCTGTTACCTTTTTCAGGAGGAGGGAGCTTCGCTGTGCAAGTTAATCCTATGATAGCACCAAACCTTGTAAATATATTCTACTTCATATTCATTCATCATGTTGCCAATTCTACTAAACACAATTCTTATATGTTATTTTCAAGTGTCGCGAAACAAGATCAATATATGATATGAGTGATATGAAAATACTTTATATAGTAAATTAAAGTTAAATCTTATAACATAATGGACTTTTTGATGTGTTGATAGCATTTTTAATGGAAGAATCACATCTAAAAATTACTCAAGTAAATTATTCATAGACAAAGATTAATAACAAGTCACATTTGAGAAAAAAAATTACATTCTCATTTTAACAATAGTTCATTTTGTATTGGTTCTTATCTATTAATAATTTTCTTGAATAATTCTTAGATGTGATTCTTCTTTTTTTAATATATAATTAAATCCTTCAAAGTTGTTATTCATATATTTGTGTGAATTTTTTAGAATTTATCTCATTTTATTATTTTTTATAAAGCATAAAATTTTTCCATAAAATAAATTTCACAAAAATTTATGAATATGAACTTTAAAAATTTTAAAATGACTTAGAAATAATCTCAATGCAAACATACAAAAAAATTAATTATTTAATTTTTATAGTTTTGATTTAATTATAATTTACTCCTTAAACTTTTACTTATTACAACTCAATTGTTATAGTTTTAATTTGGCTGCAACTCAATTCTTAAATTTTAACTTTTGCAACCCAATCCTTATAATTTTAATCATTTAAAATATTAGTTCATATATTTTTTAAAACTAAAATTATAAAGATTAAGATTATATTAAAATTTAGGACTAATATTTTAAATTATTAAACTCATTATAAATATTACAATTTTAAAATAATTTTAATTTTTATAATTTTAATTTTTTAAAAAATATAGAAACTAATATTTAAATAGTTAAAATTATATTAATTGAATTGTAAGCGTTAAAATTTAAAAATTAAGTTATAATCAAATTAAAAATATAAGGATCTAATTATAAAGAATCAAAATTTAAAGATCAAATTATAAAAAAATTAAAATTTAAAAAAATTTAAATGATTAATTTTTTCAAAAATAAGGGCCAGGGGAATAAAAGGGAGAAGCAGCCAAACAGGTATCTTTCGTCGCATAATGCCATTAATTCAGAGTGTTTCTATCGAACGAGGGATTACAAACAATCAGCGGCAGCTGTAAACCTAAAACGCAACCTCCCCCGAAATTTTGAAAACAAAATCAGCTTTACAGTGTCTGTCCCCACACAAAAAAAAAAAATAAAATAAAATAAAAAATTAGCACATAAACTAAACTAACCCCGCTAACCCCTTGCCTTCATAAAAGGCCATGAGAGAATCAGGACTTTGTAGATATAGAGAGGGTATTCTAGAGTTCTCTGAGAGAGAGTATCAGGTAGGCGCTCAAGAGTGAAGAGTGAAAAATCTATGGAGCATCTCAAGAAGTTGTTGGGGTTGCTACTCGCGGTGTGCACCGTGCTTGTGATTTCGCCGGAGGCGTCGGCCACCAGGTGGATTGTCGGAGGCAACATGGGTTGGAGCCCCAATGTGAACTACACTATTTGGGCTCGGGACAAACACTTCTACAATGGCGACTGGCTCTGTAAGCACCTTATTCTCACCGATTTAAGCTTCGATTTGAGGTTTTATGGAAGCGATTCTTTCTGTCTGTCTCTCATTAGCTGTAGCTTTCCCCTGTCGCTGATACGTGTGTATACGCTGTGTAGATTAGATCTGAACGTTTTCATGCTTAGGATGAGCCCATAGATTTAAGTTACAAGCTCCTTTCTTGTTTCCGTGTACCGAGTAGGTTTAAATAAGTTAATCGTGCTACTTTTGTTTTTCTTTCACCTGTCCTTGAGCGTCATGGTAAATCCAGATTGCCTTTGTAGAAAATGCCCGAAAAATGAGAAACGAGAGACCACTTGATCATTGTAATAGAAGAACTGAAATAATTTAACTTATTTCCACTTGCATGTTGATTTGATTTCCTTGGAATTCTGATTATTCACTTGCCATTTTCAGCCCAGAGGGACTCCGATTGGGAAAATAGAGTTTAGATTCCTTGGTACCTTTCCAGTTCATGTTCCGGTTTCCCAGATCCAGGACTTTTCGCCGGTTTTCTTGCTTATATCATGTGTTCCTTTTTCGAGCTGACTTATGATCCTCTCATTTTCCTCCCGCTTATGCTTTTTTTCTGCTTCTCTTGAACCATTCAAATTAAATTTATATTTTTAAAAATTATTAAATTTATTTAAATTTTTAAATTTAATTTAACGATTCAGATCTGTTCCCTCCCCTGCTCTCCTTTTAAAATCCAGCTCCCTCATTTTCTCACTAGTACTGTAATTATCATTCCTTCCTCATTTCTTCTCATAACCCCCTGTTGTCTTGTCAGTCCTGGTTTTCAGTACTTCAGTTCTGTGATTGGCTTTTAATTCTCCGGTATTTGAAATTATCTAGTTGGTGAATGGTCATCCGTTCGGAGCAGTTTTTTTCACAATCAAGTCCCATGTCCAGTGACCGACGCAGGAAATTTTGTTGATGGGGCAAAACATATATATAAATAAATATTAATATTTTTGAAATACTTTTTCCGATATTAATATATTTGAAATATAATTATAAATATTATTTAATTAATAAAAAATAAATTCACTGAAATTAAAGAAAATTTGTGCTGAAAATGATAGAATAAGTAGTAATTATTAATATCATATGCTAATACTCTTTTTTATAAAAAGAATCATACTCTTTTACAATAAATATTTTTAATATAAATAATGAAAAAATGTTTTATAATATTTTATTTGGTTAAAATAAACAGAACTCTCCTAACCTTTGAGATAACAAAACTCCCCTCACCTTTAAAAGTTTAAAGTTAACTTCCCTAACTTTTTATTTTTTCATCACATACTCCCTTACTATTATTTCTTAGTTATTTTACTAACAAAAATTGTCATTCATGTTTAGAAAAGATACATAGCACCTTATGTGACATCTTATATAAGCTAATAAGTAATAATAACTTTGTAAAAATTTTATCTATATTTTTCCAAAATTAGTAGTACATATTTGTCTCATTTTAAAGGAAGGATAAATTTTTATTGATGTGAGTCTTTCTTGACTTGTGTTAAAAATCATGAAAATATGTTTTCAATGTCAAGTGCCATGTGTATCTCATTAATCTGATGTGGCAAGCTTTGTTAATAAGATGATAGAGTTATTAATGGTAGGGGCTTTGAAAAGGGGGAAAAAGATTGGAGAGGTTAATTTTAAATGTTTAAAGGAGAGAGGAGTTATATGTAGCTACATAAAGTTCAGAAGAGTTTTGTAGATTTTAGTCTAATTTTATATGTTTATATAAATAATATGAACAAGATACTTTCTCACACGAACCAATCTACAATGGTTTTTGGTTGTTGCCACAGATAAAAAATGTAGTGGAATGACCAAGAAAATGTTCAGCGTGAAGACTGAAATTAAAAAAAAGAAAAAAACTTAAATGATGCAGGGAGGCAAGTAATAATTTTTGATGGGGCAAGTGATAATTTCCCCCATCCTACAGCTAAGAGGTGCTATTGGTTTTAGTGTCTCTTCAATGTAGATGCGTCCCTGCCCGTATCCCATTATTCATGTGACTTGGGATGATATGAACTTCATTTAAATTCAGAATCTGCTTATTTTACTTCAGTTACTGTATCGAATGACTGAACCTGTACCATTTGTTCTGTTTGAAATCAGACGATAACAGTTATATTACAGTTTTTGTGTATGATAGGAACCAGCAGAGCGTACTGGAGGTGAACAAGACAAACTACGAGACATGCAATACTGATCATCCACTTCACAACTACACTACAGGAGCTGGACGAGACGTGGCTCCTCTGAATGTAACTCGCGATTACTACTTCGTGAGTGGAAATGGATTCTGCTTTGGAGGAATGAAGGTTCACGTTCATGTGGAAAACCCACCACCACCACCTGTAGTTTCTCCTATAAAGGCTGCTTCCTCCACTCTCTCTTCTTCAGGTCACGTTCTTGTGTTGCCTGTAGCTTTTGCCATTGGTGCAGCTTGGGATGCGTTCCTTCATTTCTGGTGAGATCATGACGATGGTGATTCTGAGCCCATCTCTGAAAGAGAAAAGGACTTGAAAAAGGAAAAAAAAAAAGTAGTTTTGTTGTTTTTGCTGATGTAATCCTGCATTGCGGGCTGAAATTGGGGTGAGGTGAAGTACATGTTTGGGTGGTGTTTGATTTTGAAGATGTATTTGGTGATCTAATTTATTTTGGTGTATTGATTGGGTTAATTTATTGGAGGATTCAATTGCGGGAAAAATTGTTGTTTGGACTTTTAGGAACTTCGCCATGTGAGTGTGTATTAGTCCATGTTCCATTCAAATCTTTATTCTTCTTTGGGAAAAAAATGCACATAATCTCAGCTGTACTTGCTTTGTTTTAAGTCCAGACCTAGACCCCAAGAATTGAACCCATTACTGGAACGTATCCAATCTGGACACTGCCTTCGAACTACATGAAATTCGAACCATGATCTTGGTCCCCTTGGTTTTCCCGCGTCTGGCACAACCTTAATTTTTTCTTTTTTCTTTTTGGGGTGTGAAAGAAATCAGCTTGTTAATGAGGAAAAATACTTTAATGGGTCTTATTATCCCAATTTTTAATCAGGTCCCTAAAATTTTAATTATTTTATACTTTTCATTGTTAAGTCCATTAATTCTTTTCCATCTAACACTGTTTAAATCACTAATAAATCCATTAACTCCATTAGTCTAAGTTGATTAGCAGTCAAGTAAATTAGTCTTTCATACTGAGGACTAACAATGTGTATTGGAAATAACCTGTTAAAATTTAAATCAATGGTTATGAATTCATATTTCACTTAAGCTTAGTGAACAAGTGAATATATCTAGACTATTAATCTAGATTTTAATTGTTCAAATGATACAGGTACTCATTGTCTGTATTAAGTACAGTCATTGAATTTAAATTTAATAATCTTTGTGCTCACTTGCTTAGGTAATTTTGGAGGCATGTTCTCTTTGTTGAAATTGAATGATGAAAGCCATCACCTAGGCCGGTCGAAGAGGTAAGCTTTTGGTGGGGAAGAGAGATTTTGAGCCGCAGATTAAGACCGTGGGAAGTGGGAAGGGCTGGGCAGCATCCAAATGTCGTGCCACTTTGTGCTTATTATTCAAAGGATGAGAAGCTTTTGGTCTATGATTATTATCCCGGGAAGCAACCAACCCTATTACATGGTATGCATTTCTCGTAACCTTTATTTCTCTTTATTCCTCTGTTATCATACTTTGTTTCTTGTCATTTTCACTGGGCTAAAAGATAAAGTTTGTCCTTTAAATCTTTAATCAACAAATCAGAACTAACAGAATACAGTTAGAATCTATGCTGGATAAATGCTATGACTATCAAAGAGGGACACAGTAAATGTAAATTGTTTCTTGAAAAATTGATTTATAAAATATGTTGTGATAGCAATTTCTGCAGACGTTGTTGAGTCAAGGCTATGCTCGACATATCTTTCCAAAGCTACTGACCCTTTATACTGCATTATTTTGAATTATCTTTCTCTGCAGTGCACAAGGACTTTCCGTAATGTGATTTCATACCAATTTGCTTGTCTCATCTATTTGCATGAAATGATTGACTTAATACATATGTGTGCTTTTGAAGTTATCACTGTAGAATTCAAATTCCATTCAAGAGCTAGTGCAACATTGAACGTCACTTGGGTGATGTCTGCAAGGAGACTGCTTATAAAGTTTCCTAAATGTATTTCTTGATCATTTGATTTACAATGTGCCATTTTATGATGGATTTTCACTCTGAACATGTGGCAAACATAACCTTTTATAGTCAGATTTTATAATGATAAGCAATAAAATCATTGTAATTACAATTAAAAAATGATTTTAAATAAAAATGGTGTTAATTTATATGTTACAAAATAATAAATAGACTTAAATAATAATTAATATTTATAATAATTTTTTTTAAAATACTCAAAAATATTTTATAATATCCAACACGTGTAGCATGACCTAAGCAAGTGAGCGCAATGACTATTCTGCTTGATCGATGTTTTGTTCTCTTCCTCCAGCACAAGTTGTCAATCCACGATGTAAAAAATTAATCTACCTGGCTGCTAATCAACTTAGACTAACAGAGTTAATAGATTTGTTAATTATTTAAACGGTGTTAGATGGAAAAGGATTAACCAACTTAACGGTGAAAAATATAAGGGCCCAATAAAAACAATTAAAATTATAAGGATTTAATTTAAAATTAAGTAAACTATAACGACCAACGAAGGTAATTTCCCTTTTAATAAAAAGAATGAAGGAATATAACAAAATAACCCTGATTCTTGGAGGTTTAAGTGTGTGGGTATGGGAGAAAGAAAAATAAGCAAAGTTATTTTAAGACGAGAAAATAACAAATAAAATAAGTCTTCATTAATCATATTATATATTTGGATAAAAGGTGATAGATAAAAAGGATAAAAGTGTAAATTTAACTTGAAACTTTTCCTTTAAGGGCGCTTGGTATCTTGAACTTTTTTTGGAAGCAATGTTGCCTCAAAACTTTCCAAAATGGTGCAACATTGCCCTCCATCAGAGTTGATTGTTCGTTAATCATTTTTGTCTAATTGGACTTGCCACGTAACTATCACATGGCATTTTTTAAAAAATTAAAAAATTATAAAGGTATAAATTTATCCTAAAACTTTTCCTCTGGGAGCGCCTGATATCCTCAACCTTTTTTTGAGAGTAATATTGCCTCGAAACTCTCCAAAATAATGCAATGTTGCCCTGTTATTAGAGTTGACTATTTTGTTTGATTTCATTTGCCATGTGATATTTTTAAAAAAATTTAAAAAATGCCGTCCCCTCACTCCTTATATCTTAATTGCACATCGCTCTCCCTCCTTCACATTCGACCATTTTTCTCCTCTTCATTCCTCCCTCCTCCACCTTAACATTTGCAAGACAAGAGCTAAATTAGAAGCCCTATAGCCGTCGCCTACGGAGTTGTTACTTCTCCTTACTTGGCATTGGTCAATCTGAGTTGTTAATTTTTTGTTCTTATTTTTTGAATATTTTGTGTTGTTCTTGAATTGTTGGGTTGTTAAGTTGTGTTCTTTATTATCTTCCTCTTTGCCCCTTCTCTTTGATTTTTTTTTATGTTAAAAATCTGTGTTTGATTGTTTCTCTTGATTGTTCTTTTATGCTTAAAATCTAAGTTTGCTTTTTCATCTTAGTATTCTAAGTTATTTTACATTTTTAGTATTGTGGAGGAAGAAGAAGAAGTTAATGAAGACAAAGTATAGCTCCTTTTATTTTTTTTAATTTTTAAAAAATGCCATGTGGCTATCACATGGCAAGTGAAGTCAAACAAAATGGTCAAATTTGACAGCAGAGTAACATTGCTCCCAAGAAAAAAGTTGAGGATATCATATGCCCCTGAAGAAAAAGTTTCAGGATAAATTTACACCTTTATCATTTTTTTAATTTGTTAAATTGCCACGTGGCAAGTCTAGTCAAATAAAATGGTCAACTCTGACGGCAGGGTAATATTACATTGTTTTGAAAAGTTTCGAGGCAATATTACTCCAAAAAAAAGTTTAGAATACCAGACACCCTTGGAGTAAAAGTTTCAGGGTAAATTTACAGCTTTACCCTAGATAAAAGGTGATAGATTGAAAAACATTTGTTTTTCGGTAGAAAGTAAATGTATTAATAAGAAAAAATAATTACAAAAAAGACAATAATAAAGACACATTGAAGGCCAACTATAAACTCATAACTAGAGCTTTGTGTGCTTTAAGGCCATGGCTAGAGCTAATAATTCAGCCAAACCTGACGAGCTAATCTGAACCCGCTTGAAAAAAATTTAAGCTAGGCTTAAAAAAGGTACTTTTTTATGTTCGAGCCTAAGAAAAAATTTAAGCCACGCCTAATCGAGTTCGGGCTTGACACGAATACCCGGATAAAATTTTTTTATTTTTAAAAAATATATAAAATTATAATAAATATTATTAATTGTTTAAGTTTTAGGTTATTTTATACTAAAATATCATATATTTAAGTCCAATATATTGTTTAAGTATTAGAAAAATATATTTATATTTTTTATAAATAAAATAATTAATTTTAAAGTAAAAAATTTAATTAAAAATGATTTTAAAAATAAAATTTGAGTATTCGGGCTGCCCAACAAAGAAATTCAAACTAGGCTTGGCTATTCGGGATTTTTTAGGGAGTTGGGCTCATTCAGGTCGAGCCTAACTAGGCCCAACCTGCCTGAATTCCTAGCTCTAGCCATGGACTTACGCTTCAATTTTTTTTTCACTTATACTCTATATAACTTGTCATTATTTTTCCTATTTAAGTATTAATGCTAATTAAATATTTTTATTATGAATTTATTTCTTGCTTATACTATATATAACTAGTCATCATTTTTACACCAAGCATTAATGTTAATTATATCTTTCCATTAAAAATTTATTGCCCCACATTTCACTACAATTCTCATTCTCATTTTCAATATCAATTAACCAACATCTAAATAGAAGGGTAACATATATATAATATATTAAAAAATTAAACTCTTCTTCGAATACATATATTGCTTAGAGAGTATTATTGATTTGGGTAAATGATCAATATACCCGTTAAACTATTGTTCAAATAGCATTATAGACCTTAAACCCCATGTATTATGCAATTTCTTTCCTCAACTTTTAAATTCCTAACAATTGATTGCTTGGCATTCAGTATAGGAATGTTGATCGTTAAGTGTAATGAGAGGGAAGATGGTTTGACATAATTTTGCTAAGTTAGCATGCCATGTGTGCAAGGTAGTCTTAGGCAAGATGGCATATTGGTAATTGTCCTAGATACTCTTTTTCTCTTTGCTTATATTCTTTGCTTTTCCAATCACTCTAATTTTTTTTTCAATATGGATGTTGTAGCTTCTAATTATTTTACTAGACTAGTTCAATCTTCATTTGCCAACAATCTTAATGGCTCTAAGCTATAGCACGACACGACGCCCATTGGCCCGTCGTCATGAACTTATTGATATGTTGCTTTGTTAAGCACTTATGTTGTCGTTGATGCTTTTTTAAAGTTGTTGGCACCTGTAGTAGAGCATTCACTAGCCACCTTGCCTTCTTTGTCAACAGATGATCCCATCCTCTTAGTCTTAAGCAAGGAAAAGCCTTATTCTTGTGGTGCAGTGAAGTTTATTGGCTATATTCCTATGAAATTGAACATCATCGGAGGCTTCACGAGGAAATCGTCAGTGAAAACCCCACTAATATTTAAGAAATGTGCCTATTGTAGAGAAATCTTAAGCATCAAAAAGGAAACATTGTTAAAATTTGCAACCAATGCAACTTCCATATATGCAAGTAAGACCATGGTTGATTTTGAGGTTGATGGTGAAGAACTAGGAATGGTTGATTTTTAATAGGACTCGTACAAGGTATGTGTTTAGGCTTAGAATTTTAAGAGAGT